TGTTTATGAACACATTTCTAACCATGTGTGTAGGTTTCGCCTAGATTTCAAATGTGTGGCATGGTGCCGCATAGAAAGCATCCCCACAAGTACAACACAAGATTTTAGCTATATGACACACGCCAAATTGTTTCGGGCTATTCAATTCGTCGCTGCTGCGTCCAAAGGTCAAGGTTGCAGCATCGTCATACCTCTTCTGCTTCGGGTATATGGGATTCGGTGTGAAACATGCCAGATACTCAGTGACTTTGCAACTGGGCTTTCAAGTAGCACAAAACAAATCCCAGTGGTTCCGGGGGGTTCCAGGTATATAAATACTATGCCAGTGAACCTTAAGTGCCCAATTGAAAAATTAGTCTGCTCTACTACCCAGTTAACTCCTAACTGTGGCTCTCTGTACTGCAAAAACTAGATTTATTAAACAAGTGATAAGATCTGTTATAATATGAATATCGTTAGGAAGTATTCAATTGATCATCGAAGGGAAATGATAAATCTATATACTGATATCTTAAAGACTGGAATTTCACTTGGTCCTGGCATTTACTATATACATATATTGGGTTCTAATTTTACTTATCAGGGGATCACTGTGGCGCCCATCTCTCTTTCTTCTATTTTCGCCTTTCTTCGCGCTGCGCTTCTTCTGCTTCCGCATGCCTAATTCCCATAAAGAGTGGCGTGTGCGAGGGAGAGGCCAAAGGGCGCGAGTGGGATGGTGAGCGTGGGTCTAATTGTGGCCGAATTGGGGGCTTCCCCTCCCCCACGGAACGCATTTTCTGCGCACTTGGCTGCAGTTGCAATTTTCTCGCTCACTCCCTCTCAATCTCTCTCTCTCTCCCCATCTGTCTCGCTCCCTCTGCTGACATTTAAATGTTTTCGCGTGCAAATAAAATTACATACATATCTAGGTTTTCTTTCCATATAGTTCGTTACTTTTTATTTATTTGTTTTTTTTTGTCAGAGTTTTCCTTTTCTCGTTTGCCGTGTACGTTTGTGTAATTACAAAATTACTAGCTAAGAAAAAAAACGAATAACATTAATTGTTGCTTAAAAGTAGCTGTCGTCTAGGTACATTTTTGTATATATGTATATATTTCTTTACGTACAAGTACATGTGTGTATATGTTATACGATAATATTAAGTCTGTTTTCAGCTGCTTTGTTTTTTAGATGTGTTTTTTGTTATTTATTTATTCTTTTCTTGTTCGCAATGCCTTTAAAAGTATATTGTCAATTGCTCTTCGTAATTATGTAATTATAAAATGAAGGGTAAAAATCCGTGTGGTTCTTTTTCTGGTTGCTTGTTATTTTTTTAAGTGTTTTGTCTTGTTGTGGGTTGTTGCTGATGTGGTCTTTGTTATACAATGCAATTGGCAGTTGCAATTCTCTGTTTTCCTCTTGTCGCGAAACCGCAGGTACAAAAAAAGTTTGAATTATTTGGAGAGGTTTTGGTTTTGGGATAGGTTCTATGCTCTATATTCTATTTGGAAGCCTGGCATACATAAATACATATAATTAATGTAATTATACATTTGGGACTTTAACTTGTACATATATGTGTATATAGATATTTAAGTAGTTTGCATATGTACACCGAAATTGATTTAGGTCTAGATTATGTAGATTATGCCCAAACAAATTTGCGCCAACAACTTTATATACGCCAACTCACATATCTTTTTCACGGGGGGAAATAATAACTAGGTTAAGTGACTTTTTGTTGTGACCCGACCCCCTTTTGGCTACGCCAATGCACTCTCTTTCTCTGCACTTCACTGCCAGTCTGTCCTCTCTCTCTCGTTCTCTCGTCTCTGACGCAGTGCCATATCGCTCTTATCCTGGTGACGAAGTGCAGCGCCGCAGTCGCATCTTCAGCCGGCTACCGGCGCTTCCAATGCTGCTGCTGCGCCGTCGGCGACTGCGACTGCTGCTCCTGCTGCCGGTCAGTTGCTCCAAGGAGCTGACCTCCGCCTCCGTCTCGTCCTCTGGCGCCGCACCATTTCTATGGGGAGAGTGGGCCAGAAATCTACAGTAACGCCGGAAGCGTCTACCCAAGCGACTGACCATGCCTCTCTCTCGTTCTCTGGGTGTTGCCGCCTCTGCTGCTCTCTCGCACGCTTCCAGTGCCTCGGCCGTGGCAGCCTTGCGCTCTCCCACTTCTCTTCCAGGCGATCTTCCTCGGGAAATGGCATCGGCACCGTCACTAACTTTCCAGCCGGATCCGTTGTTGTTGTTGTTGTGGGCAATGGAAAGGAGCGCCACGCTGCTGCTGCTGGCATTGTTGTTGTCGTAGTTTTGGTTGTTGTTGCTGTGATTGCGCTGCTCTCATGACCGCTTACCGCTATCCTTGCGAAAGGACTTGCGCAGCTTGTCGACCAAACGCAAATGGAACTTCGTATAGTCATTGGAAGATTCCACTGCAGCAGCTGCAGCGGCTGCCTGTTGTTGCTGTTGCTTCTGATTAATAGCCGCTGCCTGCGCGGCCGCCTGCCTTTCCAGTGCGGATGCGGTGTTCGATCGGCTGGGTGGACTACTGCGCGTGGGCGACACCATTTGCTGCAGCGAACCGTGCGAACTGCGCGATGCATTGCGCGGAAATGCCCGCGAGCTGTGGCAGCGCTGCATTTGCATCCTTTGATGTGCAGAGGATACGCCCAATTGACCGTGCGATGGTGAGGTGGCGAAGCTCTCCGACTTGCATTCGGACACCTTGCGACGTCGCTGATTCCCCTGCAGTTGTTGTTGTCCCTGGGCGGGCGTTCCAATAGCGGTAGCCAAAGCCGTCGTACCGTTACTACTTGCATTCGAACATTCCGATGTTTTGCGGGAACGCGTGTCCTTGTAAATATCGTAATTGTTCTTCATCACGGGCATCATGAACGCCATCTCGATCACTTTCTGCTGCTCGCCTTTCTGTCTCTTTCAGAACACAAAACAAAAAAAAAATAAACGGTCGTTTTGTTTGGATTTTCTAGTCTTTTCTTTTCCGTTTATTTTCGATTTTCGTTCTTCACTTTTTTCTGTTTGGTTTTTACGGGGGAGACTTTTGATGCACGCACCTTCGCCGTTCGATGTCTCTGTTCGTTTTGAGGCCATCCCGCTTTGGCCGCCTCTACTTATACGCTGACCGGCTGGCGGGAGAGTACACTGAGAAAGCGTCGGGAGAATAACGTAACTCACGTTCGTATACGTAACTGTTAACGTACAACTCTTTGAAAGTTTATTACTCATACGTATCGATGCACTTGCTCATACTCATTGCGCTTACAACATGTTGTACAATCGAATCACTCATACGCACTGCATAGCAATTTGATAACATATATTTTAGGTATGTAAGAATTTCACTAAATACTTAAATAATATTTCTAACGAACTTATTTTATATTATTGCAATAGGTAAGATGCATTTTGTTCATATAGAAACTAAAGATTCACTAAATGAATCACATCCAGTATGCTCTGATATATTTCTGTTATAATTTTTGGAAGTGTATGCACGGTGCTCTCACTCTCCGTCGAGAAAAAGAGAGCACGCATGCGCAGTGAGAGCGCCGCTCAGTGCAACACGTTTACACGTGTCGACAAAACGTGATATGCGAACTGATAAAAATATGCAACATAACGCAAATTACCTTCAATGTTAATGTTTGCTAATTACAACATTAATTCGTGAAATAATACAGGTGCATGAACTTACCAAAAATTTTTAGGAATGCAGATAATAGAAAGAAATTCGTCAGCGTTTGACGTAGTCGCCCAAATCGTTATCTGAAATCCCACAGTGGCTTACGGCTAAGCCGTAATCATGATCGATTGCCAACGGTGGGCCGTTTGAGCCTCAGATTGCGATAAGAGTCCAATTCTCATGTCCAAGTCGCATGCTAGCGGACGGGAAGCAATAAAACCTGATGATATCCGAAATAAGGCCCAAGATAAAACCACACACAGTTTGTTTAAATATGTTTTTGTCACTTTAATGAATAGTTTTCAATTAATGTTCTGTCTGCTCTTCAGCATAATCATTTTCATCGCCTATATGAAATCGTTAAATAATGAAAGTGCATACATATATATTTATTAATTTTTTTTCTTTTGCTTAACCCATCTGTTTTACTTTGTTTTTCGTATGAATGCATAAATCTTGGTAACAATTCTTCATATTCCTTTGCTTATTTAAACGCTCAACTCGTCTTCTTTTTGTAATGTAAATGCATTTGTAACAACAATTTTTTCGTGGCTTGTCTAAGTAATACAAAAAAAACCTTATTCGAAAACGATTGAAAAATATTGCGAACAAGATTTGGAAAGGGGAACGCAACTTATGCGTAAATGCATTTACATTTAGATCTGGATATATATGAATATATATTTTCCTCACATAAATGTATGTATCGTGGAAATTATTGTACAATTTTTTAAGATCTTGCTTGAATTCGTCATTACGTCTATATATCGTATATTTTTCAAGTGCATTTTGTGCATCACCACTTCTGCTACTAAAAAAAAAATACAAAAAAGGTTTCCATTACTCATTATTCATTGTTGGGAATGCGTGGGGCTCTGAAATTCATTCGATAAACTCGCACAGTATTTTGAATCAAGCTCCCATTTATTCTCTTCCCTCTTCGTACATTTTTGTTTATGTATTGTATAATTTACCTATAAGTTTTTCTTAAGTTGCTTTAATGTTAGTTTTTATTTGCTTGATTTTGCTTCAATTCAATGAATGTCCGTTGTCCGCTAAGTTCAATAAAGTATTTAGGAATTTCAAAGGCTAGCTAGAGGGGGTTTCTTTTTATTTTGGAGAGAGTGTTTTTATGAGAGTGTTTAAACGGAATTCCCTTGGGGGACTCGAAGCTAATTTAAGATCGTTTTCGTATCGTAATGTTTGAGCGCATAAACCGAACGGAGTCACCAAACAGTGGTTTGCTGAACCGGTTACCCCCCAAAACAAAAACAAAGGAGGAACTTTTCTGGCAAGTGTGTGTGTGTGCTGGCAGTTTTTTGGCTATATAATAATATTTATATATTATATGTCTATATAAACCCATTTAAAAGTTCACAAACTTTTCGCGGCGTTTCTTTGGCCCGCAAAAAAAGTGAAAAATTGCCAAAACCAATTTTCATCGAATACTGTTCATCTAGTTTGACTTATGTATTTACAGCACACCCAATAAATCGGTGTTGACTAACTAACTAACGCTTCGAACTCAACTAAAGGCTATGAATCAGGCTAACTTTTGTTTTTGACCAACTGAAAACGATTACAACTCGTTCATAGATCGTTCAATGTGTCTCATTGTGAGATTCTTAGAGATATGGGGCGAAATCGGTGGTGCTACAGAGAGATATAGATCTCCATAACACACACACCCGCACACACAGGCGCACGCAGCTATATAGAATCGGACACAGACACAGGATATAGACAGCGATATTGATAGAGATTAGTGACTAAGCCTAGGGACTTCGGACTCTGGATTCTCGATTCTAAATTCTGGATTCTGGATTCTGGATTCTGGATCCTGGATTTGTCTGAGCTAGTTAACAAACTACACACAAATACATCGACTTACAGCTAGAGAATCCGATCAGATGTCCAACGTGTCTCAACCACACATGCATAACACTTTATCCGAGATCACATATACTCGTAGTAAAATTGCCAGCAAAAAGTTTCTAGGGAAAACGATCGTCTGTCAGGATTGCTATATATAGAGTGAGTGTTGTAATTGTTGCTATCAAAAAAATTACCCTAACCATGTACATTCATGAGCTATATACGTGTATGTAGTACCGAGTATCGTATGCATATAATCGTGTGTTAAAGTATATTATGCTTTTCATATTATTTGATTTCCCTTCTGTATTCCATATAGAGTTAAGCTAATCGAGTCGAGAGTTACATAATACGCATCATTGTCAAGCGATCATAACACAACAACCACTCTGCTTGAGGTACATTAAGGATATGGGCCAGGAGGACACGCTGGCCCTTAGTTTAGTGACTCGACTTACATAGAGATAGATTACCGGCTTAGCTACCCTGAAGATCTAGAAAGAACCGATCCGTTTCGAACCAAAAGAAAGCTGCTTACTTCCTGTCGGGGAACTTGCGATTGCGAGGACTTGATCCGTCATCGCGACGTGAGAACTCCTCGTGCTGGTTCTGAAATGGGAATGCAATGAGGATCATAAGTGGTCTGCTTCTGGCAGTACAAATCGATACTTACCCTGGGACGAGTGACTCCCTTGCCACTGTGACGCATTAGGGGCGCCTGTTCCTCGTCTCCGTAAATTCTGCAAAGATCAAAGTGGTTTAGTGACTCGAAGTTTGTAACTCTTTACCTTTCAAGATGACTCACCTGCCCTCCGCCGAGGTGTCGGGCTCGAGTAGTGGCAACATGTCCTCGCCCTGCTGCAGCAGCTCCACGGACGCCAGAGACTCACTGCCCGTTCCCGTTCCAGTGCCCGTCTCAGTACTGGTGTCTCCCGCTCCGGCCGTTGCTTGCGAGGATTCGCCACGCTCCGCCTCGTGACACTCGCACTGACAGTCCTCCGGCTTTACGTAGTTGTAGTGCAACTTATCGCCGCCTTCCGGATTCGTTTTCGACGCCTGCTGATTATGGTGGTGGTGATGATGGTGGTGGCCAGCTCCGGTGCCGGATCGATGACCACTGCCGCAGGCGGAAGAGGAACTGGTGGTGGCCGTGGCGGGCACACTGCTCGTTAACGTCTCCTTGGGCAGGGTGGTGATCCTCTTGGCCGGTTTCCTCTTTTCGGGTATGTTCTCGAAGTCGATCCAATGCCCGGAGAGCTTTCGTTGGGTTGAGGCCTTCGGCTTCGGTTCCTCCAGAGTAGAAGTAGCAGCTGGTGGTGGTGTGACCACCGGGAGCAACTGTTTGGCCGAGTCCTTGCGCTCCAGGTTGTTATTGGCTCGTAGGCCCTCCTCGGCGAATTCAAACCAGGACTTGCCACTGGTGTTGGACACACGGCGCGGTGACTTGGAGTTCTGAATACGCTCCTTACCGATGGACTCCTTGCGTGGCAGACTGATCCTCAGCTTCTCCCCCCGCACTGGAGTTCCGACCACTCCGCCACTTCCGCCGCCTCCGATTCCAGTGCTAAAACCTCCTACACCATCGGTCTCTTGATAACCACCTGGTGTTGCCTCCTGCGGTGTCATGATTCCCGTGCAGTACTCCTCAAGATGTGAAGGATTCAGCGGCGTGGTGGATCTTGGTCTGTCCACTGGGCACGTCCTTAGCTCCATATTCGCTCGTTCTCTCATGGGGATTATAGGTACACCCTGGGCCCGCTCCTCGGGTAGCGTGGTGGGTATGTAGGGCAGCTCATCCTCGAAGGACTCTTGTGACACCAGACCCGTGCTTTCGTGCTCCTCTATAACGCACACGTTGCGCGGAAAGTTGTGGTGCCGTCGTCCTGCTTCTCCGCCTGCAGGAACTGCCGTAGTCACCGAGGAGCTACCGGCCATGTCCGAGTCCCTTTCACTCTCCGAGGATTCCACGGGCTCGTGCTCATCCGTTGACTGCGAATGACGACGTTCTGGTGGGGGGGTGGATACACTGGTCAGAGAATCGTGATGGGAAGTGCTTGCGTGCTCCGTAATGGAGGTGGTTACAGGTTCCCTAGACGATTCAGTTGGTGGCTCCTTATAGGAAATGCTTGGCTGATCCCTGCGGGTGGTGTTTGGTGACTCAATGAAGGCAGTGCCTGGAGGACCAGTAAAAGAAGTGAATGCTTGAGCAGCGGCGGCGGGTGTAGTGGTCACTGGAACTCCTTTGGATGTGGGAGTGGTTGCAGAAGTCGGTGGCTGCTTGGACTGACCCACCGGAGTGGCTGGCGTTGGTGTGGGAGTGGTGGGTGTGACAGTGCCAGAACTATAGCTAGGGGTTTCACCTACAAGGACGAAAAACCATATATTACTCTTAAATCTTCAAAGATTTCGGGATACCACTTACGTCTTGATTCTGGGACACTTTGTCGCTTTGGCTTCCTTGGTATGGTTACCTGACTGCCTGGCATTTCACCCGGTCGGCCCACTTCCGCCTCCGTAAGATTCTCGTGCAGCTTGCGGCGCACATCAAAGTTCTCCAAGTAACGTGAGTGGCGCAAATCCGCTGGGGCCGCCGCTGCCATCGGAGCAGCTTCATCCTCCGAGCTGGGACGCGACTTGGACCGCTTGGCACGCATCACCACCGATCCGGACATGGCTACGCCCTGCTCCTCCTCCGAACTGCAGACGCCCCTTGGCGGTGGCGGTGGCGGTCCGGTCTCCATTCTTCGAATCACAGTACCCTGGCGCTGCAATCCCTCCGCGGTTTCTGAGCCAGAGTGCTCCACTTGCTCGGAAAGCTGACTCGACTGGCTCTCTGTCTTTGAAATACTGAACTGGGTGGAGAAGAGCTGCTCCTGACTGCCTGAACCCAACCGAGTGGCGAACAACAGACGTCTGCGCTCCTTGGCGGCTGCCTCCGAATCAGGATTGGGAGCATTTACGGTGGCCACCGTGTGCACCAATCTCGGCTCGCAGGCACTCTGTGTGCTCTCCACCGAGGGCAATCGCTGCATGGCTGCCTGCTCCCGTTGCTGGGCAAGATTAGCTGCCCGGGCACTAACCACCGAGCCCACCGATTCGGCCGTCGTCTCCTGCGAGTCCTGCGAGCTGTGTCGCTGGACCTCCAGGCTCCAGTTGGCCGGTTCCGGCCGCTGTAGGATCTGCTCCTCGCCAGGCGCCGTTGGCGGATCCTCCTGGCTGGGCAGCGATTGTATAGCATCCAGATCCGGTCGTTGGGCCACCCTCCTTTGGGCCACGGGACGCAAGGCAGCCGCCGCTGCCGCCAATTGGGTGGCTGTGATCTGGGTGCCCGGCGCCACCGGTTGAGCGGAAGTGGGCGGAGCTCGGTGGGTGGGCAGCGGCGAGGGATCCACGCTGGCCTGCGCCGCATGGGTCAGCTGCTGGATGCCTTGCAGCAGAGTGCGAGCCTCGCGTTCCTCTGGCGGCGTGTGCAGCGGTATATGGATAACCCCCTCCACTGGCTCATCGTAGTAACGCAGGCGACTGCCTGGTCGAGAGCCCACTGGGGTCCGACTACGATTTGTTGACCCCGATCCAGGTGCGGGTGGCGGTGGTGGTGGCACTGGCTCAACACTGGACTCTATTGGCGACGAGCTCTTGCTGCTCTGACTACCCCTCTTACCCGGCTTGAAAATGGCCAGCACGGACTTTTGCTTACTGGGCGTCACATTCTGGGAACCGCCTCCTCCTCCCAATCCGCCCGATGCAGTGGCGGGTCGTTCTTTGCTTTTGCTACGCGAACGAGCCGTTTCCCTGGGCGAATCCGGCGAGTCCTTGCCCAAACGAAAGAGGGAGCTAAAGGAGCTCTTGCGGGACACGGAGCCACCTGCTCCGCCACCAGCTCCAGTTGCGGGTGAAGGTGAACGACTGGTTAATCGACGACCCGGCTTGGGACTCGCTGTGGGGGTCAAACGATGCTCCTCTATGGGAGCACCCTGCAGACTCAACGAGGCGGGCTTGGAGTAAACCGGTGCCAGTTGATTGGGTGCCTCCACCACTCGCTCATTGGAGGCAATGCCCTTGTCACTGTACATATGATCCGGTCTGAGATTAATCCTTATGTACTCCGTGCCGCTGGCCGTCTTGCCCACAACCATTTGACCCGGGCTCTTGGTGCTCCTGCGTTGGGCGCCAATCGTCTGCTTCACCTTTGGTTCCTTCTCTATCCGTTCGCCGTTGGCCAGCGAGCTGGCCTGCCTGCTCCTGCTGCGACTGGAGGTGCTGGCTGCGGAACCAGTTGGTGCGGGGGGCAGCACCTTGATGCCCTCGGCCAGTACCGCCTGGGTGGGATCATGTTTTCGGGCCAGCAACAGTTGCTCCAATAGTGCAGCATTGGCGGCCACAGTGCCGGCACCCGGCATTCCGTCCGCCTGACTGTGAGCGGAGCTGGCTGCCGTGGAGGCATTGCTTGCACCCCCACTCCCGGCCAGCTCCACGGGCTTGGGGCCACAGAACGAGGTCTCCAGCAGCATGCGGTGCGGCGAGGGGGAGCGCGAGACACCCGATATCGCCGAGAGGCGACTCACCGCCGATCCCTGGCTGCCCACGCTCGAGATGCGGCTGGTGCGACCCGAGATGCACAGCAGGGCAGCCACCTCCGAACTGGCCGAGTCCTTGCGCTGGTGCTGTTGCAGGTAACTCTGGTGGTCGTCGAACTTAAAGATGTGCGGCGATGAGCGCTTGGCCTGCAACAAAATAAAAGAAGGGCGCGAGAAGGGGCACAATATGTTAGCAATAGGAAATAGTTTTGGAACCGCTTCAGTTCAGGCTGATGAAATAAATACCTAACAGTATGTACATGTTTAGTGTATTGTGATTCATAATCTCGGGGAATCCGAAACGCTGATGCGAGCAATAAGCCAAAAACTGGCACACTACGGTATGAGAAAGGTATTACTTGAAACCCAAGATGTCCGAGGATCTTGAAATTTAAATTATAGATAGGTAGGATGGATGGAACTAAAGGACAGTACAAAATCTTATAGAGGGACTCTAAACTAGCAAAATAGGTGGAGTGACCATTGAAATGGAAAAATGTAGTAGATCGTGCAGTGTGGAAATATAAATCCAAACTGTTAAATAAAATCAATTTACTAGATGCTTGTTCCAAATTGCATCAAATTTAATTGAATCAGAACTGTGTTTCCCACAGTGTACACACTAAATGTAGACAGTGGTGTGGCAATCATGGGATTCCATTCGGCTCCACGTCAATCGCGGCTCTTCAATCTGGACTCACTACCTGGGGCTGCCAATCAAACAAGGCAAACAGAGGTGGAGCACAAAGGAATGGAGCTTCAGTCGAAAGTGGGAGAAACTGCAAAATGGAAATGGGATTGCGTTTGGTTGCCATTGGGGAATGCTCTACAGTGGGCAGGATTTTCCGATTTTTCGCCGACTTTCTACATAATTAGGTATTATTGTAGTTGACGATGCTAAATAAAGGGTTCATTTACTAGTTTGCTTGCCTGTCACTAATTGTCTGATACTTTTCACAGCATACTTTTAGACACATTTTGAAATGGTTCTGACAGCTATAGATATAGTTCCAGTAGCAATACGTTGCGTATCGAACTGCATCATACGCACTTTAGCAAAAGCCTTCAGATAATTACAGCTTGCCTTGGGGCCAATTAACGCAGTCACGCGTCCAACTAATCAATTGCAACTTTTCGCAATTAACCAGACGTCCTCACTTCACATTTTACTTCATCACCATCACCACCTTCAACTCATGCAACTCATTCAGCAATTGATAAGTTGGACGGCTTTCGCCCAGCTGACAGTTACTCATTTCTCCCGGGGAAAAACTGGACCGGGGTAAATAATTTCCACAAACTTTTGCCCGAGTGCAGGAATAAACTTTGGCCAAACAATCGCAACTGGGGAAATTGAGGCTGCAGTGGAGAAGTAGAGGAGTGGAGGAGTTGGGGGGTGGGTTAGGGTATAATGGAGGTCCTTGGGCTTTCGTTGGTGGGTGGTTACACTTGTCAGCTGTCACTCGGTGCTTACTCGTCCATCCGCCTGCCCATTTCCGTTGATGGCACCACTGCTGCTACACTTCCCAGCCACTCGAATGCAATTTTGCATTATTAATTCAACTTGCGATGCGGTCGCTGTCTCCCATCCGGCCCAATCGGCCCAATCAGCCCGCCAACCAAGCCGACCCCCTCGACTCCGTCGAACCTTGGCGACCCCTTCAATGTCAAGTGCATCCGCTTGTTTAATAGGAAATGTCGAAGCAACTTGAAAAACTAACACGCTTCAACCACGTAAATGTGTTTAAAAGAGTCCTTATACCATTTCCAGATGGGGGAAAGGCGGGCATTTCAAATAGTACGGATAGTACCATAAACATACGTATGTTTCTTGCATTACCACTAGAGGTTTCGAGTTAAGCATACACTGGTAGGTGTTTAATCGTGTGAATACTCTGTTTAAGGTCGATTTGGTGTTAGATATCGTGTGTTTGTAAGCGAATGCAGTTAAATATCTAATTGATCGCTGTTGTTTTCGCATTTTGTTGTGTATTTATCGTGTGAATTTCGATTTCGATAGTTATCGATGCTGTTATCACACGTTTTCTTGCTAGCCGCCGCTCACCTGCTGCTGCTGCTGCTGGATCCGCTCCTGCTCCTCCTTCTTCTGTTCGGGATCCATGAAGTACAGCTCCTCGGTGGAGCTGCGGAGCTCCAGGGCGCCATCCTCCCGAAAGCCAAGGCCAATCGTTTCCTGTAGGGTGCCAGTGCCGACCTTCAGAGCATTAGTTCAACCACATAAACCAGCCAGTACACACACACACACACACATCGAGTCGGCAGATGGCAGTCGGTCGAGCAGTTCGTTTTTGTCAGAACGATAGTTTGTTTGGTTTGGTTTGGTTTGGTTTGGTTTGGTTTGGTTTTGGTTTTTCGATTTGGTTTTTCGTTGGGGATCAGGTCGGTTAAGGTGAGGATGTGGTTTTGGGGGTTAAGAAGCATGCAAGGCGTTTAAGGAAATGGAAATGGAGGCAAGAGTCGAAAACAGAAAACAGAAACGAAATCAACAAATCAACAGCCAATTTGTGTGCAGGTTTCGTTTTGTTCGGTCGGGATTTTTGTTTTTCGAATTGGTGGATTTTTCGTGGATTGGTTAAAGGTATATATGTATGTGTATACGTGTTATAGGTCAGGGGTTATGTGGTTTCCACAGTGTGTATGTTTTATTTTTTTTTTGGCGGGGGGAGGGGCGTGTGTGTGCAAGGGGTAGCGAGCGCATCACAGAGTGTTACAGACAGAGAAAGAGACAGATGTACATAGATATAGACGGTGATATACATATCGATGAATGGTTAAGATATATTGATTGATTGATGTTTGAATGGCAGAAGCGACAAAACAGATAAACGAATCCAAATGAAGCAAACAAGAGCAAAGTACAACATAATTAGCATTAGTTTATGCATTGCCTTCTCAAATCAAAACCCACATAAGGCATCAATTAGTTCATATATGGGGCATATGGTATTCACTTTACAACATGTACTTGTAGATAGTAAATTTAATACCCTAAGTAACATGCCCTATGCCCCATTTAGAATAGGCTACGTTATCCATTGACCCACCTGCTCGAATACATTTTCCGGACTGCTTTCCCGGCTATCCTCCTCGTGATGCGACGAACTGGAGGCGCGACTCAGCTCGATGCGGGGCGTTGAGGGCGTGGTCAGGGTGGTGGCACCGCGATAACTCCCACCCGCAGACGCACCGCCCCCTGGACCGCCAGCCGAGTGGGCGGTGGGTGGTATGGGCTGGCCGCCCTCGCTGCTGCTCACCAAGGTGGTGGTCACCGTTGTCGTCGCCGTTTTCAGTGGCGGAGGGCGTTGCTTTGCCTGGACAATCGTCGCCGAGCAAGTTGCCGATGAAACCGATGACGACGAGGATGAGGAGGCGGATGCTGCGGATGCGGAGGCGGCTGTACTTGCATTTGCCAATGCGGATGCGGATGCAGCGGCTATGCTAGGTGCTTCAATGCCGCCGGCGGTTCTATTGCGATTCGTCGTCTTCGACATCGTTGTCTGATTTCGCACACTCTGCTCCATCATCTAAAAATGATATTGAAAAAGTTATTACCATAAACAAGTACATAATTGGAGAGTAATAAGTTAGAGCCTCAAATATTTCACCCTAATTTCTGTAAATAATTTGAACAAAAACTGTACCACATCCTTTGCTGGACCACAAATTATCAAAAGCTGCCCAGCAATATAGTTGCAAAACTGTGCAAACTGTCATTTTAAGCTGCCCAAAAGTGAGTTTTGCTATATACATAGTTGCAACTTGTGGGACAGTTTGTGCAGCTCGGCCCACAGTTTGGTTGCAAGTTTGTGCTGTTTTTGCAACTAGAGTGGGTGAGGAAGCTTTATTTAAATTGTGGTTGCAAAATTGTGCAAACTGGAAACCAAAACTGTTCATGCAAGGTAGGTAAGTAAGTAGGGATAATATTATGTGCTCTTCTCACTTCGATTTTTAAACTTTTTAAGTCAAGTAGAGTAATGCAAATTTAGGGCAAGTACATACTTTGCATTCGAAATTCAAAAACAAACACATAATCTAATTCTTTTGCGCAGGATATGTCAAGGGAAACCACATTGGATGATTGAAAACCCAGAGGAAAACGTAGTGGAATAGAAAACTGCTGGGTCATTCCGATTGGGGGTTAGCCCAGCCAACACCCACTATAATCTCCCCTCGGATTGCATTTCGCAAATTGAAATCAACTGCTTTTGACACAGTTTCCTCCATACAGATGTACATGTGGAGCTGTCCCGCGGCGTTTCCTCTGCGGATTTTCCTCCCATTCATTTTGACTCGCTCATTGTCGCATGTGAATTTGAAACGAAACGATGATTTTCTTTGTCTTCATGTGGTTACCCCTCATAATTAAAGGTTTTTGAAGTTTTATCCTTGCACTGAAGTGACCTGCATTGGGTTTCGATTTCGCTTTGGGCAAGACAACACACAAAACAGTGGCATCTGGCCTGGACTGCCAGGAGCTTGAATTCAAGGGAACAGATTATAATCTGGCCATTTTTCCGATAACGAATCATTCTGGCCACTGACCACAAAAAAAAACTACTGTTTTGTAAGCTCTACAAATTTTTATACTCAATGTTTAAGACCCATTTTTGTACCGAAAAGTACATTATGCACATGTCAATGCACATTAAAGTCTTGCACTTGCACGGGAAATTGGGAAATGCTTCCCTGATGTTGCAGCTCCCTCCTTGCCACTTTTTGCCCCGTCCCTGAAGCTCCTTCTAGTCGCACCAAAACGGAGGTACGAGTTAATAACATTTAGCTACCGAGCGACTTTATTTGTCGCCTTTCTTGTCTGGGGCCCAAAGTCTTTGGCCAACACCATTAGCGGGATTTAAGTTTTCAAGCTGCTCGAAATGGGGATGGTATGGAAATGCGGGGTCCAAAGTTTACTGGAGCAACAGACTTGCTCCATCACCGCTGCAGTTTTTCCACTGATGCTGCACTCGCATTAAAAGCGCTCAAGGTGAAATCCTTTCACACGCAAAATGTGGAAGAGCGCTGCAGATGCATGAGGACATACATATACATTGATGTTGTATGTAGCTATATAGTAGATATATGTATATTTGGTGAGGGGGCTTCGGATATGGTTGGTATGATTGACACATGGCGCCTGAGTGCGGGAAATGGGTGGGAATCCTTTATTATCGCTGCGGGACCTTGGGGACACAAATTAATTTAAAGTTGGCGCAGCCAGCTATGCAACAATTTCCGAAATTGGAGGCATGCCGCGTGCTGTGCGGCAAACGAACTAGGGGCACACAACGTCCCCCATGAAAGTCACCAAGAAAATAAGGTGTTTCTCTGCTCAGAAGCAGCGTAACACGCTTAAATCTTTCGCAGCCTCTGATTGTTCGCAACACACCGCTTTAAAGCATACAAAGCCTAGAATTTATTCTAGGAGTTTTTAAAATTTAAAAATTTCCCAAAAAATATCTACCTTAATTCGTAGGTCGTTCTGATATTCATGAATTATAACTAATAAATTTTGAGACCTTTAGGTTTTATCAAAATCTACCCATCGCCGTAATCCCATATCTCCTCTTTAACCTCGTTAACTTTATAAGAGCTCAAGCCACCAAGTATTCCAATATTTTCCAAAACTCCGAGAGCCCAAAAAAGCGTGGCCCCTTCCACCAAAAATGTTGGCCTTTTGTTTTTGTGGTGTACAGAAAAGAAAATACCGTATATTTCTTGCTTATTTTTTGGGAGGCACGGCAGGAAATATGGGCAAGTGTTTTGGGACACATCGTAACATCGTTTGAGGCACAAAAATAGGAAGAAAAAGGGAACCGGGCGGGAAGAGTACATAAAATGAGGGAGATAAAGAGAGAGAGAAGAGAAGAGAATGCAGAGAGGCTGTCACACAAATGTGTGATCAAATTAATTAAAATTTAAATAAAAAGCAACTTAAGGAACAGAGAGCGAGTGAGAGAGAAATAAAGTGATTGAGAAGGGGGTGGGCGGAATAGGATAAGAGAGCGCCGCGTGCTTTGCCTTCTGTTTATTGTTCACACACACAAGCACACACACTCACCGCGGTCCCAAAAAGTCCTCTCCACGTGTGCGAGTGTGTGTATTAGTTGTCCTTATTAATTTTGCATCAATTCGCACTAAAAAAAAAGTGTAACGATAAAAGCCAGCAAGTGTGATTTGTGCTCTGTTTTTTTCTCATGCGATTGCTTGCTATCTTTCGTTTTTGATTTATCTCCTTGACTGCTCACTTCAGCTAACTGCTAATGCTATCTCTGTCTGGCGTCTGGCTGGCACACACACACGCGCTCTCTCTCTCTGCCTCGCTATTCCGCTCTCTCGCAGGAGCACCGTTCACCGTTAGACCGCACGCACGCAGCGCCAGCGTCGAACTGCCCCGAAAAGTATGCTAACGGTGAATGTGAATGGGAATGCGACGAAAGCTTCGCCGTCTTCGCTTTTCCGCTGTTTCTTTGCACCAGTCTCCCCCACTCCCTCTTTCACTTACTCTCTCGCTTCAATTCGCTTCGAAAGCTTCTCTGAATGTGATGGGGAGAGAGAGGGCAGAGCGGTGAAGAGAGCCTGCGGCCGGAAAGCTCTGAGGACTCAGCTGTGTCGCCTGTGAAGCTTCAAGAGTCAACTAGCCATGTGTGCGAATGTGTGGGTGCGACTGCAAAGGGGAATACAACAGCGGGCAGATGAATAGTATCTCTCTCTGCGGCTTAGCTAAGAAGGTATTCATAATCTCAGCTGTCTCGGTGTTGTTTCTCAATACGAAAGTTGGTTAAACAACGATTTTATTGAGATGAAGGCTCTAAAATTGTCAATTTCGATATTTATACCTGATACCATTACCTATTTCCTTTTCCCGCACTGTCCTTGCGTTTCCTCGCCCGTTTCCCTTTCAGGACTCTTCCTTCATCCCTTTAGCCACTGGCAAAATGACATTATTTGGAGCACTTCACATCCAAGGCGGATGCGTGTCACAATATTTTCGAAGGCGTGCAAAACTCACGGGTCACCGATCTGCGAAGCGTGTTTCTGGCAATAGCTTTCAAATTCACTTTGTTACTTCTTTTTTTGCAGTGTAATCGATGTTTTTGCTGTTTTGTCGTTTAAGATTCATTTTGTTTATTGGCCGCAAGCGTTTCGCCTGCCTGGCTGGCTGGCTGGCTGCCTTTTAAGTGGCCATTTGCATGATTGCGGCACACATCCCCCGACCTTTGAGCTCCCCTACCCACCAATTGCCACCCCCATTTATACACCCATATTTTTGTGGAGAGCGGAAAGCTTTGGCCAAGCTTACAGCGCCCAGGAGCGACTTAGTTGATTTCGTGTTTTGGTTAATTAATTTAAGCCCTGCATTATGCATGCGTGCGCTGGTCACTGGATAAGAGGGTATACCAAGCACGTATATAATGAATATAAGAGATCATATTTATGCTACCACCATTACACTCAAAGCAAGCATATGAGGCGCACATCTATCTATCATTATACACGCAGTAATGTTGACCATACATCTACTGTGATACTGTAATGTTCTTATGGGGTGTTCTTGGTAAATAGGCTAAAGGACTCACCGCCACTTGGCCAGGATGCTGATGGTGATGCTGTTGCTCTTGCTGCTGCTGTGCATTTGTCGTGGCATTGTCCTCGAATGACTTCTCGAAGGATGCAATTGGCGCTGGGCCAAGTCGTTTCTGCCGGCGCGCATCCATTCCGTAACTGTTTCCTCGTGCCCAGTGCCGCTCCTCAATGCTATTTATTTAGCCAGCAGCACGGCATCGGTATGGAATATCCTATAAATGGAGCACCGGCTAAGGAAGAGAGGAAAAAAAGCGGAGGGACACACATTAGAAGGCCGTTGGCACGATTTCTCTCTTGGCGTGGCTTTTCATAATTGCCTTTGGTAACAATAATGCACTGGAAGAAAAAAAAACAATTTCTATAGCAATAACATTTTAATACGCCTTTTCTGAATTCTAGACATTGTATAGGCTGGATTGTATATCGATTTATTTCGAATTAAATCGTTGCCCAACAGAGAAAAATTTTTAGAAAGGGACATACAGTTGTACTTAGATAATGTCCCACTTTGTCACAGTGCACGAGAAACTATAACAAAACGGTTGCAATCACATATCACTCGGCTTTTACTGTTGCTCGCGTTGGGCCACATCAATCATTGGGGAATCATTTGGAAAAATGAGCCAAACTAAATATATATGAGGCAATACATACGTGTCTGCATTGCCAGCGAATTATTCGCCACTGCGAGCGAGCGAGACGGATGCGGCGACAGAGGGGGAGAGAGGTAGCAGTTCCGTGTCAACAGTTCATTGAACCGCATGGTAGCCGCAAACGAACCGGAAGTGAAATAATAACATCAACAATTGATGAATATTTAAAGAAGCGGCCATTCATGGTTGCCATGTTATACTGTAATTCTGTGAAATTCGCCATTAAATATTCAGCGCTATTATTGTTAAGCTGGCCATCGTATCTAAAGATCGATTAAAGCCTACAACTTTATTTAGGAATATATAACCAGGGCTGCCACGTGCACACAATTTATGCAAAGCCATAACCTTTAAATTTACAAGCCCTTAAATGTAACCTCATAAATGTAACACCTCAAATTTCATGGAGTTTGGCAAATATGCTATTTCAATGCCATCTTGTTTCCTTTAGCAAACAGAATAGTGCCACTCAGATGACGCAGGACCAAAGTAAATATCAACAGAAACACATTTGTGCACACATGTTTGCTGATGCCATGACTTCATCATCTGCCTGACTGAAATTGTGTTAAGACTTCAACCAAAAGCCAATGACAGTTAATGCATCCTTTGAGGAGTCACATATTTTGTGATTTCAACTAACTTAGGCTGCTGGCAATCTGTTATTTCTGCTTTTTCGAGACACACAAAAGCAATTGCAACCTTTCATTTTAATACACAAAAGACAATATTTCCTTTTCTCCCTCGATTTTCTGGGTCCAAAAAAAGGAAAAAAAAAACTCGAGAAATAGGACATGAAACTCGAGCATCCTTGAACCACACATATTTCCACGCACACACTCTCTCTCTCTCACACACACACACACGCACACATTTCCTGATGCAAACATGATTATTGTAGCTGGCTGGTATAAAGTTTTTTATTTTTTTCATTTTCGGACCTGGGCATGGGAACTCTTACTCTGCAGTTCGTTCTGGTTATTGGGATACAGTGGATAAAAAAAGTACCGGCAGTGGTCCTGCAGGGGATGCATATTGATTGGGGAGCTGCGAGTCGAAATGAATTCGGTGCATTATTCATCGATGTGCGCCATAGACACACGTACTTTATTTCGTACAGTGGCAATGGGAATTGTGTGACACTCGTCTGAGCACAAGTTTTTAGGGGGCTTAAATAGAAGAAGTCTCCGCGTGTCTAATCCCTAAATAATTTGCTATAAAACCTTGTTTTTGGCAACCCAAATAGTGCCTTGTACGATTGGGAAAGCTATAAATGAAATTGGGAAAGGGATTTACCTCCTGGGCATATAAGGTAACTCATTACAGGTTTAGGCGATATTTATAGCTAGTCATTGGATTGGCAATACGATTAAAGCCATTTCGGCACACAACACGAACCCACAACTAGTGGCTCTCACTCCAATGTTAACGTAGTTTTTAATAAACTTGTCAGAGCTCTTTTCCGCAATCGACCAGCAACCCAAACCACTGCGATGTCCTTGAATTAACACCCACAGACCCACCCACACATTTGACCTTCTGCGGGCGCGGTTCTAAATTTAAAACGTTTAGCAGCAATTTTTCGTAATTTTTCCATAGATCCAGGGGCAATGAATACAAATGAGTGCACTCATCAGTGTCAAGTTGTGATGAAAAGCTAAGGCCAACTACTTGATTATGTGCACATGTACATGAATAAATTGCCCGATTTTCAAAAGGATTATACTGGCAAATTACACAGCAAACACAAAACTAGCTAATTGATTGAGTGCGCTGTACATATTTTTACGGAAATCATAACAAAATCATAATTGACACTAACAGTAATGGAAATTGTACACGAAAATAATTGCACTCATTGATGGAGTGTATGGAATTTCTAAATTTAAATGCAGATTTTTAGAGAATTGCTCCAGAAATATTTAAAGGTATGCCATTTCAAAATCCGACTAAGATAAGTTGAGTTATGGAGTTTAGAACTTCAGCCTTGGGACACTTCTTATTATTTTTGAATTTCTACAACATGAGTGCACTCATCAGTGTCAAGTTGTGATGAAAAGCTAAGGCCAACTACTTGATTATGTGCATATGTACATACATGAATAAATTGCCCGAACACCATTTAAATTTTGAATGGTGTTTGTTGTACCCGTTACAAGTAGGGTAAAAGATTACTAGATACTAGATTATACTAAAAGGTATACTAGATTCGTTGAAAAGTATGTAACACTCGAAATGGAAAAAGGTCAGTAATAGTATTTTTCAGTACTTTCTAGTACGGCCCAAACAAGAGTGGCTCTTAGTTACAGCCACTTAATTAAATTTTGCATTAGTGAAAACCAAAAATATTTTGTGTATGTTGTGCTCAAATTTTCTGTTTACGTTACAAAGTTTCGCATAATTAAGTTACACAAAATTGAATTTGTTTCAATTAGCTGCACATATGCAAAACACTTTGTTACATTGACTGCACTTAACTTTACTTTTCACCGAAAGTCTTCTCTTAGGTTAAACACAGCTCTTTAGTTTTCAACGAACACAATATACCCTTTCATACATACAAACCTAAATATTCAATAGATATTTCATAATAACTTGACTACACGATTTTTTGACTTCATTAACATTTGTCAAAAATTGTCCAAATCTAAAGTGTCAAAATTTGAATGCCCATCGACCGGGAATTGAAATACGAGCTCAATGAAGTAGGGCATTCCATTTTTGGTGCATTAGTTTTGTAGTTTTAGCCGAAATCAGACCTTCTGTACGTTTTTCGGAAGCATTCCTTTTAGCCCCACTTTACTTTAAGCTACTTGCTGGTCTTTAACGCAGACATTCCTTCCCCAGATGGAGCATGGAAAATCGATGGAATCAGCGCCAGAAAGTGGAGGTGGAAGACGCAAAGGCGGCAAGGATGTCAGCATAACTTTGCCAAGCAGCTTAGGGAAGCCTTTCCATAAGAGCCTTCAGAACCAGCACTCTCTGCATCCCCGATTTCTCCATTTCAGTGAAACTTTGATGCTTTGGCAAAACTAAGCAAAGAAAAATTGGAGTAAGAAAACAAAACTTTATCTGGCCGAACATTAAATAAACATTTACAAATCTATGTAGCGCACAAACCAAAAAGACATCGCTTTTAATAACCTATGCGTAGGCTTGACTAGCCAAACTTAA